AGGCTGAAAGACCAATTTTATAATTTATGGGTTGTATGATATGTATGATACCAGCGGTAACCTACTAGAATTTTCCTGTGAGGTGTTTAGCGTGCCATTGCATATATTACCATGCACTTGTGTGGTCCGACGTAGGTGGAGTTTTCCTGTCTCACAGCCATTCTCAAGTCACTCAGAGTCTAATAAATTAATTGCAAATGCTCGGCCAATAGCTCAGGTTTTCTACTAACTAGTTTTTTCAACTTATAATCTATGTATTGCTATGTGGCTGGTGGCTTTACCTGTCCTCTAGCATGTGTTGCTCCCTCTGTATATCCTGGTGACTCCAGACTCCACTCTTCTTCCTCCAAGCATTCTCCTGGGCTGGCTCTCCTGCCTAACTTTATTCTGTTCAGTTATTGCCCTGTCAGCTTCATTATTAAACCAGTCACAGTGACATATATTTACACAGTGTAAAGAAATATTTCACAGCAGTTATAAGAGTAGTTTTGGCTAAATATACTGTTCACACCACATAAATGCCTTCCAGAACCAGGGCTTCTTCCTTGAGAGCTGGGTGCCATGGAGACCCTTTTTTATGGATGGCATGATTGGCAGGTGGTTCTCTTCTTATTAAGGGATGGGTTTTCTTTTGGAGAAAGCTTTTACCCCTAGCACATTACATACACACACTTGGTGTCTCCTATGACTGACAAATGCCTTTTCTATCGACACCATTTCAGTTGTTTGTTTTTCCTTTAGAGGTGATAGCAGTTCAGCATTGCTACCAATGGAGAGAAATCATGTAAAATATCAGGATGGATATAATAATATAAGCATCAATAGCATGTGATAGATATGCATATGGCATAATATGTTTGCAGATGAGTGATTGTGGAGAAGTCCACCCCCCAGAGTTGTAAAAGCTGACCTGGAAGGACTAGAGATTGAACACTGATAGTTGCCTCATGTTCTTTTAAGAGACCTTTATCTTTATGAGTTTCAATGTATTTGTAAATGCTGAAGTGTATGGAATAGAATCTGGTATGAATATCATTGGATTCATGGAGTAGCTATTCCTGCTGTATATAGATTCTGGTTTTGTGGAACCATGAGAAATGCCAACTCAGTGGCATCCCCTGTTAATTGGGTCAAAATCCAGTCCTTTACTCTCCACCTCAATGGCTGTGTGTAAAAAAAAGCCCTTTAGGGCCTTTCCATAACAGAGCAGAGCTATGCTTGCTTGTTAAGATTAAGAATTGGTTGAGGGAAGGGAAGATAATGGCAAGGGAGGGATGGTCTGTGTACAGGGAAGAATCCCACTTTACAGAAACCAAAGCCCAAATTAGAATAAGCAAGCCTTTGGATTAAAATGATTTCTGTTGTGGTTGTAACATACCACAGTTTGATTTTTGTCCAGATGAAAACATTTGGTTTTCACTTCAGTAAATATTGTGGAGACATTGCCAGCTAATTCTGAAAAGTAATGAAATACAGCTTTTGCAAAGCACAGATGCATTCTGTACTCTGATTCTTCCTATCTGATCCCTCCCTCCCTCCTCTTCCTCCTCTTTTATTTTTACATGTTTGTTAATGCACTTGAATAATCAGGAGAAAAAAAAACTGTGCTTGTAATTTTAATAGAATACTATTTATAATCATTGAATAGCAACCATTTCCTTGCTCCACAAGAAACCAAAATATCAGCAATTTCTATAACCACATGCACACTCTTCAAACATGCACCTTCATTGATTATTTCCATTGAATGTTTGTGAAGGAGAGTGGACATGATTCTGAGTGGTAAAGTAGCACCTCTTACTAGTTAGCCTCTTACACAGAGGGCTTGCTTGTATCACAGCAAGAAGAGGCCACCTGGAGAATGGCTCTCCCTGTCAATGCCTCTCTGTTCCAGTGCTATGGCTGTAGCTTTCTTTGCAAGGGCCTTGAATCCCACCAAGGAATTAAGTTTCTGTTTTTGTTTTTTTAAATAAAAACTGTGTGTTTTCGTGCTTGGGAATCACCTGTATCCCAGACCACTCTTATTAGTGTTTTCTCTCTCTGTCTCTCTGGCTCTGTCTCTGTCTCTCTCTCTCCTTCAGTGAGCTTAGAGTTTTCAAATGATTGACCCATCTGACATTTGGAGGAGTGAAATTTCTTAGTAAAATTTCAAGGTATGAAGCTGATTTTTATGTGCCCAGAGCTATTATAAGATGTTTATGATGGGGCAGGGGAAGGGAAACATCCTTTTCTCTTGAGGGATTCTAAATATTCATCTGTTTATTGACTTTGTCGAAATACACGTGCTTATTTCTTGTTGGACTGAAGACTGTGAACTGGTTTCCTGCAGCACCAGTGGCATAGCTCATGCCTGTCTTGAGGGTTTGTGAAACCTGTCTTGCTCTATGTTGTTTTCACTCTAGTAGATTCCTCCTCTGAGCTTTTTACCTGTAAGTTAGAGAACCAGACTTGTACATAGACAGTAAGGAAGTGAATACTTTTCTGTAGTACACAGCTTCAGGGCTATGGATATTTTAGGTTGTTACTTAGTTATTTTCTGGGTATTAGCTGGATAATAGAATGGAGTAAGAGATATGCTCTTACTGGTTTTGGCAGCATTGCGACTTCTCCATTTCTGATCTGATGTGAGTTTGGCTGCCTGTTAACTAGTAAATGAACGGGATTTGAATGAATGAATCAAGATTCCTGGATGGATACTCCATAAAAACAGAGGTAAAATATGCATCACAAGACTGTTGAAGTTAGTTTTCCTTACCTGTGTCAGTCTGATATTGAGGTTAGTGACATGTACAAATACAAGGGCCCACCCATATTTAAGAGGTCTGTGTCTGATTTCTATGTGATATGCTCGTAATTCCTGAGTGTCCCTTCGACTAAACAAGTAATAGGTTGGTCTAGGGTGGTAGTATCCTATTTGAGGAAGTTGTCTTGAAGGCAGACTCAACTCAAGGAAGGAGGAGCATTGTTGCACTTGAAAGGGTACTTGACAGAGTGAGAGTGGGTTCAAGACTAGTGCGTGCACTCAGGACATCTTGTCCCTGCTTTTGGTTACAAACTGATAGCCTCAAGTTACCAACTCTCAATCCTTGCAAAAGACCCTGGTGTAGAGTTTCAATTTGGGGATTTTCTACTGTTTAATGTCACTCTTTGCTCTTTTTTTTGACAAAATGATTTTTCCAAAGCTAATTTCAGGTTCTAGAACCTTCCTCTTATTAAGAACCTGATTCTAAGTTACACTGATCAAAGGTGAAAAAAATAAAACAAGAATAGCTTTTGTCATTACATGCGGCTTTACACTGGTGTCATTTTGTGGCCTGTATCATCGGCATTTGTTTGCAAAATTAAATCATTTTGTAGTTACTATTTCAAAAGTTAATCCAGAGAACTGAATTGGAGCCCCTAGGGGACTCCCCACCCCCAAATAGTTTCATATACTCCAGTGCTTACCTTGAATCTTTCCTCTAGCTCCTGTGTTTCTTGACGATTGATTGTTAGGAATGATTGCAAGCAAAGAAAATAGGAAGCGGATGTATCTAATGATTCTTTTTGTGTTTTCCTAAGCTAGCCAGGAATTCTTGTTTATTGTTATGTGTGTATATGAGTGATTTATTTTCATGTATGTCTGTGCACCATTAGAGGCCAAAAGAGGGAATTAGATCCTTCAGAACTGGAGTTAAGCCCTGTTGTGAGCCACCACATGTATGCTGGAAATCAAACCTGGGCCGTCTGTAAGAACAGCAAATGCTCTTGGCCATTGCACTGTCTTTGCAGCCGTGGGAGATTTCCTTTTGGGGCATGCCTAGGAAAGCTGTGTAAAAGAAGAACTTTAAAATTACTCATTCTGGTACTTGGTGCTGTTTAATGGGGAAAGAACCTAAGGGGGTTACCTCTGCCTTTTGTTGTTTGTTTTTGTATTTCGATACATGGCTGTCCTGGCACTCTTTTTGTAGACCAGGCTGGTCCGAATTCAGAGATCCACCACACCTAGCATCTCAGCATTTTTATACCTTCTGGTCCCAGACAGTATGCCAGTAATTTATCTCCCTCTAGATTGGCTTTGCTTTATAGGGAAGAAGTATACTGTACTTGTATGTGGCTGGGACCCTCCTGTGGGGTTAATTAACAGCTCTATTTTCATTGCAAAATGTCAACACTCTTTGATTAGATCACTTTGTTTTTTAACTCCACACTTTTATTTGTGTTTTATGGAAGTTATTTTATTCATTTCTATGTGTATTCATATGTATACATCCTGCATATATGTCTGTGCACCACTTGATACCTGTGGAGGACAGAAGAGGGAACTCGAATCCCTTTAACTGGAAATACTGAAAAATTATGGCTTCCCCGTGGGTGCTGGGAATTGAACCCATGTTCTGAAGAGCAGTAAGTGCTCTTAATTGCTGAGCCATTTCTCTAGTCCAAGGAATTTATTTTAATAGTACCATATCCTATTATAACTTCATAGTAGTTTGTAAGTACTTGGGATGTTGGTGGAAATCTGTACCTGTCCCTTATATTAAGATGGTAAGAGAGTGACCTTGTAAAAGAAAAAAATCCAATCCCCTCCCCTTTCCCCCCCAATTGATGATTGCTTCTTTCTTTCTTATGTCCAAAGTTGTAAGTTAAATAAATGCACAATACAGAGCAATCTCCCAACAAACAATATGGGTGAATGTTTTCATTTCACTCACATTTTCTTGTGTAATTCATTCTTCACTGTTGTTTTCTATGGGAAATATGGGAATATTGCAAATAAGATTCTAAATTTTAATTTCTTGTGCTTGGTGAATGGTATTATTCCCTTCTGGGGCTTTTGCTTGAAATTGCTAAAGCAAGCAGATGGAGTTACACTACCTAAGGAATATTTGAAAATAATTTAAAAGTAGTAGCAGCTAGCAGTGATGTGATCAACATGCAGTTAGGGTCCTAGCTTTGTAAACCTCTCCTTTGGATTACTCAAGATTGGTGTTGATAATTTACATGTCTTATCCCACCAGGTTCTCCTGCGCTGCCCAGCAGTATGGTATATTTTGGGAGCTCTCAGGATGAGGAGGATGTCGAAGAGGAAGATGACGAGACAGAAGATGTCAAAACAGCCAACAACAATGCTTCATCTTCGTGCCAGTCCACCCCCAGGAAAGGAAAAACCCATAAGCATGTACACAATGGACATGGTAGGTCTACCATTGAGGCTGTATAAAGTGCAGCAATGAGCCAGACTTTGGATGAGGGTTCAGTAAATATTTTGAAGGGTGTCAGTCTAGGTATCAGCCAGATTTCTTCAGGGTACTTAAGTACCAGACTCTTTATGGACAAAAAAACTTAATAGAGCCCAAAAATATTCTAGATTAAAAAAAAAAAAATGAAGATTTTTCTATGTGGAAATCATTATAATTGCCATGGGAAGTACAGATGATGGGCCAGAAGAGGGAACATTGAATACTTATGATCAACAACATGGGCAAAGTTTTGTGATCAACTTTTTAATTTTGATTTTTCTTTAGGTATGTATAGTGTAGAAAACTATTATGACATTCAAAATGCACATTTATTATAGCGATTTTTCACTAGAAGTAACTTTTTTGGAATTTTGCTTTGAAATCACTAAGGTAGCCTTGATGGAGGATTTTATACAAGGAAATGACTTGAGTATTGAATTACAGTTAAGTGGCCAAAGGCTAGGAGGAGATAAATACACCTGCATATTCTTAAGCATCCTTGAGAAAAACACTACCTTCTGTATTGGGGAGGGGCACGAGGACCCATGCAAACGGGTGATACATGGCTTCTGGATGCTGCAAACGTAAGCTGTATGGACTGGTCCTGGTGTTTTGTTTTGTAGACATAGATTTTACAGTTTATTATCACACACACACACACACACACACACACACACACACACACACACACTCTGCGGATAGCACACTAAACTGGTAATTTTTTTCATATGTTTGTGTATGCAAGCGTTCATACAGAGAGAGATACATACATTCATTGAATATGCAGCCTTTTAATTAGAGATGTGGATCGAATACAAAATGGTACGTAAATTTAAATGTTGATGGAAAAAAGTTGGTTAACCTGTAGCTATAATTATCAGTAGTCTTTGAAATTTTTTATTTATTGTTATAATACACATAAATGCAGGTCAGAAGAGAGCTGAAATCAGATTTCTCCTACCTTTCTGTGTATTCTAGTGGGTGAACTCACTCAGCCTTTCAGAAGTGTATCATGGAGTAGTGGTTTTTGTTTTTTTTTTTTTTTTAATCTACTAATCCATCTTCTAGGTCCGATCACAGAAACTTGTTGAGAGCTGCCTTTCATTTGGCATTCAGGTTCAAGTGCATGGACGAATTTAGAGGATATGAACAGGATGTGTGATGGAGTATTACCTGCTTTCTGGGATGGTAGCCTGCTGCCCTCTTACCTAAGAACATATACTTGGTTCTTAGGTAAGACTGAGTGTGAGAAGACTTCCATATGCCCTGATGGGTAGGAGGAATTATTTTAATCCAGAGAGTAAGGAGCTTGATGATTTTAAATGTGAAAGTATGATGAAATCATCAAGTTAGAAAAGTTATAGTATGAGCAGAGTTTAGTTTTAAGAGGAAAATTAATTGAAGTATTCTTATTCTACTCAGGAAAGAAGTGATTGATAAATATAAACCTGGATATCCAAATATGCAATAGCATGGCTCTTTGCAAGAACCTGATGGGGAGTGATAGTAGAGGGAAGAATTGGAGGAGGGTTAATTAGTAGAGATCAAAGGTGTTTATTACCTGTTGAGTCAGCCTCATTGCTTTATAGACAGTAGAAATACAGAGAGCAGCCACACTTGATCCTGCAGGATGGAGTTGTCTCATCATGGATGAAATTCTGAGTTACAATGAGAACAGACTTCAGAGTTTGCTATCTTGAGAAAGATAGCAAATGCTCTAATAATGCAGAACCATCAACCCAAAGAATGCAATGTTAGTTTTCTTTTTTGTTTGGAGAATCGAGAGTAAATTGATAGGAACAAAACATGAAATTATACTTACCTCTTCATTTCAGTATGTCTATATATGCTAGAAATACATATATATTCTTTTTTTTTTAAAAGCACACTGCTTACTTACTATCTGATTTATTCCTTAAACTACATTTCTTCTTTACTCTCTTACCCTGATGATACTGTCTGTGTTCATGATTGGTTAAAATAATCCTCTGTGTACTTGATTGCCTGTCACTGGGCCTGAAGTTTGTTGTGCTGTGAGAGATGTTCAAGGCTATTATTACTTGTGAGAGAACACCTGCAGAGCTCCAAATTTGATTAGCTTCACATAGCACTGTTTCCTAGGCTGCCCTCTTTGGTATCCCAGCCATGGGGCCAGCGCTTAGATTTGCTACTCTACTGAATGGGTTAATGGTTCTGCATTATTAGAGCGTGCATTTAAGTGAGACATGACCTGTGCCTTTGGTTAGAATCTGTCTGTTCTCATGCTGCCTGAATACACAAGATTCAGAATAGTTTGTGGGTGAAAAGCGTGCCTCATTTTCTGTTTTATTTTCTAAGAAATTGAAATACAGAATTAGATGATCTCCATGTTTTTGGATCTTTCTTTACCTTCAGTGTGAATGTACACCTGCTTAGATTTTCTACGAGGAAGTGCTGGGTGAAATTGTCATTACTGTGGACCAGAGGATTCCTCAGATTTTTTTTTTTTTTTTTTTTTTGAGTCTTCAGTAAGAGACAAATTGGGGTAAGCAAGCTAGCTGCGTTTTACAGTCTTCTGTGGCTTCTCTTGTCAGATTGGTATCCAGCTCTCTATGTGCTGCAATGCCGAGACAAGTCAGGAAACCCAGAAATATCTGTGTTCTCTTTGGACAGGTCAACTCACTGGGATGCAGGGAGATGAATGTGTAGAAAACAGTGTACTTTTACTGCGTTATTTTGAAAAGTCTGGAGCCCAAATAGGCAGTGCTATTACCTGATTTACTTTTTTGTTGAAATGTAGTTGGAGACTAGCTCTCATGGTGCCAGGGAAGTGGCAGGAGCAAAGAACCTCTTTGAGACCACATTTTGCACCATCTTCTTGGGCCTGAGCATGTTGGCATTCTTAGATTAAGAACCTGAGCACTAAAATCCTACAAGATCCAAAACAGGGCACAGGCGCTCCCCCTCCCCCCCATTTTCTTTACAAGTAGCACGAGCCTGATTGAAAGGGATTTATTGATTAAAATACATGATCTGGAATGATTTGAACAGCATTACTTGATTCTTTAACCTTGGTTTGCAGCCCGAATGTTACAGTAACAAATAGTGACTCCAGGGACTTTCATTTCAATAGCTTGCCTAAAATAATCTTTCATATACAGAATATCATATAATGCCTGCAGTAGAGCTTCTACTTAAGTACTATTTGGAAATATAATAACATAATCTAACTGCTAAGCATGCTGAACTTGTATCATGCAAGTTTATATTGGGAATTTTTTTTTTTAAGAGATTGAAAAGTGTTTCCAGTTGTTTGGCTTTTTCTTTTGTTTATTTTATTGCTAATAGATAACTGGAGCAGATGAGGATTTATTGAATTTAGAATGACTTGCAGCTCTTTGTGACCTTCTACAGAGTAACTGGTGAAAGTTCATTAAATTATTCAAATGTTTTTTGTTTTGTTTGTTTTTTCTATTTCCTTTAAAAGAAATTGGAAGGAATAGCAAAGATTAGTGTTCTTTTTGTGTACATCTTTTTTTCTGAAGAGGGATATTTCTCAGGAGTCTTAAAACAACATGCCATTGGACTCCCAGCTGGAATTATTTAATTGCTTTTGGATTCTCACTGGGGGCTTGTTGTATGATGGCCAAAAAGCAATCATTTGCACAAGTTTCCTGTCTGAAGTGGTGGAGGGGTTTTGAGGAGCAGAGCCAGACAGAGTCTTGCTGCTTCTGTTGAAGGTGGCCATGAGATATCTCTTTCTAGCCCATGGCAGTTACGCCTTTCTTGTTGAGGCAAGGCCTTTACCCCCACCCCCACCCCCACCCCCCCAAAAAAGAGGGATTGTGAGGCTGGAACTTATCTTGGAGGATCAGCAGATTAATGAAATCTTATCTCCCCAATACCCCAACACACTGGAGGCACTGTTTGTTAATACACCACTTGGCTAATAATTAGAGTATTTATTATTTTCTTCAAAGAGATGCCACCTATCCTGTCTCTTGGGTTTTTGCCTGGTTGAATATACCCTATTTGCCACTGTCATTAACTCATCATGTGATTGGGGGCGGCTTTGTCATGTGTTCATGTATGTGTATATGTATAGCTCAGGGCTTTGAGACTCACCCTACTTGGATATGGTGTTGAGAACTTTTCTGTAATATCTTACTTCCTAGGCTCCTGAACTTGTAGCTTGATCCAAAAATGCTTGAGCCAAACCTTCGTCCCTAGAGCCAGTGGTATCATGGACATGAAGTTCCTTGTACAAAGTTGCCACTGAGTGTAACTATTAGGAATTTCCTTGAGCTTCCTAGCTGAGGCTGACCTTGAACACCTGATTCTCTCATACACATCTCCTTCATAAGAATTGCTTAGGTTTCTGCCCCCCCTTTCTCTCTCTGTCTCACACACACAGAGAGAGAGAGAGAGAGAGAGAGAGAGAGAGAGAGAGAGAGAGAGGAGAGGGGAGAGGGGAGAGAGGGGAGAGGGGAGAGGGGAGAGAAAGAGAGAGAAGTAATACGATTCTTCTCTGCATTTTCAAACCCCTTTCCCCCTAGGTTTGTATTTTCATTCTGAAGATGATAATTTCCATTTACCATTCTACTCTCTTGTCAATAGAGTGCACACCATATTTCATGGTCTTTTTTCCTAGTGTATTATGATTGTTTATTGAAATTCCAAAGTGAGCCAGAATTCTTATTATTTACTTCAGATATGGTTGCCCTTTCAGAACATACTGTCTTTTGAATGCAGCGTTTTCTAAACCCCCAAATTGCAAATTCATCTATTCTTTACAAGTTAATGCTCCACCCCTTCTGTGAATAATGCGTCCGTTTGCTCTCCATTTGCCCAGCTGTTCTTCCCCCATGTTCCTTCTGGTATGTTGAGGGAGGGTAGACACCTTGAAATAACTGTCCAGGCTAGGGATTATAATGTTATCAGTGTTATATTTTGGGCAAAAAGGATCAGATAACCGT